CTAGTTGTAGATAAAAATGTTGAGTAAAATTGCAAAGCACAGACCCATATGGCATGCTAATTGATTTCTCCTTATACCAGTGAGTTTTATTGAATGAGGTTGTTCAACCAACTACTAATGTTCACTGTATTATCCTCTAACCCTCATTTGTCCAACTTGTTTACAAAGATACTAGAGAGCCTTCACTAAATTCTAAATGTATTACACAGATCTGCTAATCTGATACCTCCAAAACAAGGTATGTGATTAGTTGCTTATTGTTTCTTAATTTAGTAAATCTATAGATGCGTCAAGTGTTCATTCCTTTTCTAAGATCTAACAAAACCTATGTATATTAAGCTATTCTACATTTTTTTAAAAAGATCTGCACCCAACTTTACTTTTAATTTCTCAAATCCACTTTCTTGAAAAGTTTTGTTCTGAACATTGGGATATTTTATTTAGCCACTGTTGTACCTTTTCGATTTTCTATTTTTCCTCAGATTTGTCAGCAGTAGTTCTATGATTACAGTGGCAAGTTCTATTTCAGGGAGGTGGTTCATTTATTTTAGAGACTTGAACTCATTTAAGGCAGTCATTCTCTTCACCTGTTTTGCATTTTGATCCATCTTCACATTGCTTTTTATCTTTCTGGTCTAAAAATCATTCTCCTGAGAGAAAAGATGGAAGAAGCAAAATAGAAGTTGAATAGTTCTATTTCTTTCCTGTCATCTTTGATATATCGTTTTAACTGAGCTGTGATCCTCATCTTCTTAAATCTTTGCTCTAATGATTTTATTATTGCTATCCAGAAAGGTTTGGGTATTTTAAAGATTTTCAAACTAGATAATTTTAGTATGGAAAGTATATCTTCTAGGTGTACTCTTAGTAACTGTTGGCTTGTGTAAAGAATCCTACTCATGATAGTCTCTTTCTTTGTTTTGCTTCTTGTCAGCTGTTCATTCTCCCTATGAGTGACTATATTTCAAGTTATATAAATCAGTGGCCTAGTGTGTATATTCTGCCACATAGGAAGTTGATGAACTAATTGAAAAGATTTTTGTTTGCTCTCAAATTAACAATTCACTTTGCCCCTATATTCCTGTAGCTCACACATGTGCTAAATTCCCAGTTTCAGCAACAGATGTCTCCCACGAGCTGCTGTTAGGCTTTGCTAAGATTTACCTAGGACAGTGGTTGGCAAACCGCGGCTCGTGAGCCACATGTGGCTCTTTGGCCCCGTGGCATGGGCCACGAAGTTTCAATCGCACTATATGTGCGTGCCCGCATGTGGTATTTTGTGGAAGAGCCACACTCAAGGGGCCAGTTTGCCGACCACTGACCTAGGATATAGGATAGTTAGATCCAGCTAAGGAGTTGTTTATGTGCTCTTTATTTCAAAGGGACCATTTTGAGTTTTCTTTTCATAATATGATTCTTATAAGAAGTAGAAACTGAAAAAAGACTTTAGAAATGGTTTTGTCTAAAACTTCATAAATGAAGGTAATTAAATGTAATCAATTTATCTAAGGAGCTACAGTTAAAACAGTTTTTTTCTAAATTTAAGATTAGTACCATTTCCTAGGAGTGAGAATTTTTAATTTTTCCAGTGGAAACTTAGAAGTTAACCAATATTCTCATTTTTTAAAAGAGAAAGAAATTGAATTCCAAAATAGTTAATAAAATTTCCCATTGTTATAGAGCTAAATGATAGAACTGAAATTCAAAACAGGTTTCATGATAAACCAATGCTTTCTCTACCATGCCTTTTTGTTAGAACACTATCTTCCTAAATGGCTCTGATAGAGCATGTTTATTCTCAAATTTCCTCATTAATATTTAGAAAGTTTCTGTCCTGTCTTTTAAGAATAGTAAATGTTTTCTGATTTGTCATCATTTACTCTCTTAGTGTGTTCCATTTTATCATTTCTTCCCTGGTAGATGTCATTTTTTAAATAACTGCAGACATTTGGCCTTCGTGAACCATGTTTTGAGGATTTATTTCTTCTAATTTTTTTTAACTTTGTTTTTAGAGTGTACTTATTGAACAGACCATTTCAAACATATCAGTAAATAATGTATTTGTATTTCAGCAACTAGTATGAAATTGTCTCTGTGGGAACAAAAAATTCTCATGTATATTATCTCCCTTATTCTCAGGATATTCCAAAGAATTGTAGTATTTTTACTGTTTCTTTCTCCTGAGTTTGTGGGTTATTTGTTCATAATGTATATGATAAAAATAGACAACTAAATTGAAAGGCATTCTTGTCAGATTGAAATGAGCCTAATACATTTTTTATCTAATAATTAGGTAATTGTTGGTCCCATTGTTACCAGTCTAGCAGCAAGATTTTATTATTATAGCAAGATTTTATTATTATAGCAAATTGAAAAAAATTTGCTATGATGGTGAATAAGTTAATTGATCTGACATAGACCTTAAAATGAAACGATCTTGGAGGTCCTTGGTCATCTTTGCTGCTACTTCCACTGTTGCAGTTTGCAACTAAATAATTCTTAGTGTATACATTAAAGTGTATAATGTTTTCAGATATGGATGGATCTTGTTAGGTGTGAGGGAGATTCTTTGTGCAGGTATCTTTTAGGCCACAAAAATAGGTTCCTTGAATGTAAAAATGTTGCATCATTATAGATCCTTAGAATTTTAGGGAACCCTAGCAATCAACTAGTTAGCACCAAATGCATGAATTACCTTTACAATATCTCTATTTACAATTGTATATCAACTTGATACATATTTTTGGTATGCTGTTCTCTTTTTCTGCCTCAGTATCTTTGTGTTTATGTTCTGGGTGCTATAACTTTCTTTCTTTTTTCTTCTTTCTTTTTTCTACACCTTTGTTTTTCTTCTCCGTTAATTAATAAATATGGAATAGAATGAAAGTTTTTCTTTTTTCAAAATTATTCTAGAGAGATACAACCTAGTCCTTTTCTTCGAAGGTAAGATTAGTAAATAGAGTTTCTGTGTTGCCATAGGATTAGTTAACTTTTGAGATTTGCTTAAAAATTAAAGTATTCTGAAATATAAATATCAATTATGTATCAAAGTGGTAAAAATATTGTGCTATATTGTACTTTTTTCAGAAATAGTTTATATTGGGTTTGTATTCCATTTTCTAGAATCTTCTGGAAATAGTAGAATGCCCTCATTCATTAACTAGAAAGATCTCTCAGCTAACTGCAAGCAAAGAGGTTTTTTTTCTTTCAGAAATTGAAGCTAAATAGTTTAAAGGTCTAATAGTTAATTTTATAGGTGAGCGTATGTTTAAGCATATACACATATTTGGAGGCAATGTAGAGCATGTTGGAAGATAGTTCTTCTACTTTGGATTGTCTAGAAGTAGAGCTTGGCAGTGTGATTGCTATCTCTAGTATTTAGATTTCCTGAAACAATTATAGATACCGTCAGATACATAAGATACCATTTGAAAGACAGAGTGATGTCTGAAAACTAAATCTCACAAGACTTTACATGAATATAAATATTAACATATGCCAATTCCATCGTATTAGAGACTGGAACCAAAACTGAAAAGAATGTTTTTTGTTGTTGTTGTTTTAGGAACATAAATTATTTGAGATAGCCTATCCTTAATGTTGCTGAAAAATCTTAGACTGGTGAGGATAAGTGCCTAAAGCTTTGATAATTTAGGAATTATATTTGTAAGATATACTCTTTTTGGCAGATGACATAGAGCTTGTAAGATATATATATATTAGATCCAGATTATAGGAAAGGATTCTGCCATTTCATTTGGAGAATATATACCTGGTTTACTTGGGCTGAGTAATAGCCAACATGTTTCTTGAAGTAATTTTTTAAAACTGAGTTGCGCCCTGGCCAGTGTGCTCAGTGGGTTGGAGTGTTGTCCCATGCACCAAGGGGCTGTGGGTTTGATTCCTGGTCAGGGCACATACCCAGGTTGTGGGTTCAATACCCGGTCGGGGCACATACACAAGACAGCCGATTTTTCTCTCTCTCTCTTTCTCTCTCTCTCTCTCTCTCCTTCCCTCATTCTCTCCCCCTCCCTCCCTCCCTCTCCCTTTCTCTATCTCTAAAATAAATAAAAAGCATGTCCTGAGTGAGGATTTTCTTTTTTAAAACTGAGTTGTGTTGAGAAGGAGAGCAATAGAATAATAGGTTGAAGCATAAGAATGGATCAACATGAAAAGAAAAAGCTAAGATATGTGCTGTCTTCACTGCACACCCCCTCAGCCTAAATATATGAGAGTAACATAAAAATAAAATTTTAAAAAGTAAAAAGAATTGTCTACCATTTACTATATTTACCCCCATAAGAACCCTATGAAATGTAAATGAGGAAACTGCAGCTCAGAGAAATTTAGTATCTTTAAATCTAATCAGTTAGCTAGTAAATGACAGATTGAATTTATTCCCAGATCTAGTGGTACAAAATGAAAAAATGAGAGGATAAATAAAAAATGTTTGTGCCCGAAGTTCAACCAAGTCTTTGGGTAAGCTTTGGCAGACATGATCTCAACTTACGAGACCATTTAAGTTTAGGTTCCTGGATTGAGGTCTCATGCCTCCAGCTTGCACATGTTATTTAAGAAGGTTTAGGTATCCAAAAGTGATTTCATTTGTTTTCTCCTCCTCTAGTAGACCCACCTCTGCTGAATAGATCCCTGGTATCAGCTATTTAATAAACGGCTATAGTTCTAAGATCCTATTATTTTGTGTGATATCCAACTGCTGTCCTCCCTACCCCTTCCATCAAGGCAATTTCCTGATGAAAGCAAAATTATGACTACTAACTAACCCACACCATAAATGACAATCTTAACTTCTTATCTCCAGAAGTGATCATTATTTTATACACTTATTCCTAGTCCTCTGTTCCTATCACTGTTGTTATACCTTATGCTTTTAAGGCATTGAAGACAAGGATAATGCTTTGTTTGTTTTGTTTTATTTCACTTGTAGCACAGCTTTGCATACAAGTAGGAACTAAATAAATTCTTATGAAGACATTTGTAAGCCTGAGATGTATTGATTTATTTAATTTTATTTCATTTGAATACCTCAACGTTTAACCAGGGTGCTGGATTATTTTAATTTGCAGCTGTACAAAATGATTTTTTTTCATGGAGTAATTGTGTTCAAATAAAGAAAATTGGATACTCTTAATACATAACTCTTAGTTTAAAGAGATGATATGATACATGAGTTAAGTTCTTTACATAATTCTTGGTTCATTCATATCTGCTTCATCATCCTACTCATCATTATATTAAATGAAAACTGTCATTTCTTCTATACATAACTGACTTGCTCTTCAGTTTTGTCACCTTCATTTTCGGTGAGAAGAAGTGTATCTAGTAGAATGATTGAAGAAGACTGAATGGTTGAACTTCGGAGCCTCCTTGGGCTTTGGTACATAGCAGGATTAATCCCATTTTGTATCCCATGTTTAATGAAAAATTTAGAGTTCTCTGCCATTGGATTCCGGAAGATATTACTGGAGCACTTTCTAAGAGTTTTTACTGATTTTGTGTCCCGGTAATTGCAGATGATGTATCGGCCAAATGCATCCCGAAATGTCTTGTTGAAGAGGGTATAGACTAAAGGATTCACACCTGAGGAAACGTAGCCTATCCACACAAATATCTCCAGGAGCATTTTGAGAGTAGTCTGGTTGCAGGAATCACATAAAACTAAAGTTATGTTTGTAATAAAAAAGGGGCACCACATAAGCAAAAAGAGGAAAAACACAATCCCTAGAACCTTTGAGGCTCTCTGTTCATTGGAAATGGTCTGCAGTGACTTTTTTCCAACTGTGGACATTCTTCGCATAAGTATATCATGGCTTGAGTTGGGCAGAGTTTTGTCCTTGTGAGAACCATCCAGCATTGCCACTTTTTCAGGTGAGGAACAAGGTGTTTCCTCCCTTTGGAAAACTGTGGACACAGTCAGCCACGTTAGGCGTTGAGATGGCTTGTTTCTGACCAAGTAAGCTTTCTTTTGTAAAGCATGTATAGTAAGAAAGTAGGTGACAATCATGATCGTCAGAGGTATAAAAAAGGAAGCCAGTGAGCCGAAGAGCATGAAATTGCCAAAACGATCTTTTGTCAGTTCACAAGTGATGTTATTTGGATTACCCACATCAGTTTCTATCCCTTTAATAGGGACTGGAACAGCAATGCCTAAGAAAGAGGAAATAAGATAAATTAATTTTATGACTTTTGATTCTTAGATTAGGTCCTCTTAAAGTTTATTTTAGTGACTTTATGTGGTTAGTATATTGTAATTCCTGGTACCCACAATACAGAATCTGTCAAAGCACTTAATCAAGGGAAGATTTGAAAAATAGAGCCTAAGTAAGCAAATCTGCTATTTTTTAAACAGACATTGGCTAGTGATTTCAGGTTTATATTAAAGCTTTCCTAAAAATATATGTTCATAGAATAGTAGAGAATGTCTTCATTTACTCTCTACTTCTCATCATCTATTTTTGTTTGTTGATCTATCTCAGCTTAAGGAAAAGGTATTCAAGAGACTCTGCTTTTATCTTATTCGATGTAGTTAGTTGTTCTAAGACAGCAGTTCTCAACCTGTGGGTCGCGACCCCTTTGGCGGTCGAACGACCCTTTCACAGGAGTCGCCTAAGACCATCCTGCATATCAGATATTTACATTACGATTCATAACAGTAGCAACATTACAGTTATGAAGTTAGCAACGAAAATAATTTTATGGTTGGATCACAACATGAGGAACTGTATTTAAAGGGCCAGAAGGTTGAGAACCACTGTTCTAAGAGATGTCAGAGTATGTTCATACAACATATTAATTCTGAATCAGTATCATCTTGACATTACATGGTTTCTTTTAACAGATAGTTTTACCTTTTGATGTTTGTGAATGTCTTTTAACCTTTTCCTTCTTCTTAGGGAAAACTAAGGGGTTCATTGTTTTTAAAAAATGCTATTTAAAATTTTGAGACTATGTGAATCATGAAATTTATTTTAGGATTGAATTCCTCTAATAGATATGAAAGAAATGTACCTCATGCTAATTTTCTAATACTTTAAATACTATAAATAGTTAAATATTATTTTGCTTGGTGAGTAGTTTATTAGGAAGACAAGTAACACAAGGGTTAGCCTGAATCTTTTCCCTTTGAAAGAGCAGATATTTTAAAATAAGACTGAATTAATATTTAGGAACCTCTAGAATCCTTGTGTTGTTTTATGAATCTAAAAGTACTCCTTTATCTGCACAGCCTTTTTATGGTAGCTAAAGAGCCCTGACAAGAAAGTTTTCCTCAAACCCTTTCCAGTGGAGGCCACTGCTTTTTCTACTTTTCTGCAGGACTATCACCAGAAAGAGGATTCTGTATACTTAACTATTCTACACTAGGGGTCAGCAAACTACAACTTGAAGGCTAAATCTGGCCTGCCTTCTCTTTTTGTAAATAAAATTTTATTGGAACATAGCCATACTCATGGTTAGCGTATTTCTATGGCTGCTTTTGTTCTGCTGCAGAGTTGAATAGTTGTGGCAACTATTTTGCCCTTTACAGAAAAAGTTGGCTGAACCCTGCTCTACTGTCTTACTTCCAGGTAATCATTCTACTCTTCTTTCCAAAAAAACATTTCCCTTTTAAAGTCTATTTAATTGACTTATACCACTCTATTCTCCATTTATCTACCAACCTCCTGGACATTTGTTATCTTGCTTGATAGCTCCTTGTTATAGTCTTCCTCTCCACTGTTTCATTGCTAACATCTCCCATGACCTTATCCCATTGTTGACCCTTACACCTTAATTTTATGTTCTTGAACTTCTCAACTGCAATTATTATTGTTTGCACTCCTGAAGCCTTTTTTAAATCCACTTAAAATTATCCCTTATCTAAAATTGTGAACTCTTATATTTCCCTTTCTTGCCCTTCTAATCTTCATTACCGTAGAACTTCTGTTTACTGTTACCTTGACCTCTAGTCCATCCTTCCTTCTCTATTTTCACATTCCGTTAACCTTATCAAGGCTCACATTACATTCTCAGCCAGATTGTTGGCCAATACAAACCTTTCCATTGGTACTTTTTAAACCTTTCCCTTCTTATTCTCCTTTAATATCTTACTATTGCCAAGTGTTACCTTGGATAATCATAAATCCAGAAGAAGAAAGTGAGCCTTTTTAGTACTTTGAAGAATTTAAAAACCGAAGTAACCCCATCATCAGCTTTTCTTTTACAAAGTTACTAAATTGTCATTGGTTCTACAAGACAAAGTGTGATGAAATGAAAAGAGCATTGATCTTGGCCTTGGTGCTGAAAAGCTGTAAGAATCCTTAAGCCAACCATTTAAACCTCTAGATTTTTTCTCATATATAAAAGGAAAGTGTAGATTTGTAAGATTCCTTCCAACACCATAAATCTGGGGTCTTTTTATTCTTTTTTTTCCCTGCATACTTATATTTTTGTATTAGCCTAATTTATTTCTGTATCTCCTTCCTTGAGTGTAAAGATTCTTTTTCTTTTTTTTTTAATCTTTTTTTAAAAAATTGATTTGAGAGAGAGAGGAAAGCAGAGGGATAGAGAGATAGAAACATCAATGAGAGAGAAACATTGCATGCCCCTACTGGGGATTGAGCCCGAAACCTGGGCATGTGCCCTGACCTGGAACTGAACCAGTAACCTCTTGGTTCATGGGTCAACGCTAAACCACTGAGCCACACCGGCCGGGCAAAGATTCTTTTTCTTATTCATCTTTGTTGTCTTAGTACCTAGCACATCATAGATGCTCAATACAATTTTGATCAATTTATAAATTCATGTTATCCAGCCTTAATTGAGGCACCACATCTATCAACAAGCTGTTTATATATTGGCTTGATCATATTCCACAGTTTCAAATGTTTTAATTCTTAAGAATTCATTTTTCCTATTTTCTTCCTTCCTTTGCCTATTCTTCCCACCCTACCCCAAAAGATGTGGGTTTTTTGAAGTGAACTATTTTAGGTTTCCTCCTCTCCACTTTAAATATTGGTAATTGTCACCTAGTATCTTCCATGCCTTTTCCCTAGCTTCCTTTGGGGGAGCCTCTTCTGCTGTCAATCAGGCTCTGCCCTCCAAACTGTTTGCAAATCTCTCCATTCTGAATAGACTTTTCTTTGACCCTACTTTTTTCCTAAGCCAGAGGAGTACCACTCCTTTCTTTTACCTCCAGGCTTTTTAAGAGGTTTGGCCCTGGTGTCATTATTTCAGGAATATAAAGGTTTAATTTCAGTGTCTTGCTTTTTTGCCCCAGTGTTCTTTTCTGATTAGAGAGAAGTCACACCTTTTCTTGCTTTCCTTTTAGCATGCTAGATCTCTTGATTTTTTTCTTTCCTCTTTGAATATTTTATACCATGAAGACTTGAATGATCATAGTAATTGTTGTTAATTTGTTTGTTTTTCTAATATTAACTTATAAGAGGTTTGAGTTATTTATGCTGTACTTTATGCTAAGATACTATATTATAGTAGCTATTGAAGATGGGCATAGAGCCATAAAACTGTTCAGAAGAAATATGATTGCTTTCTATAAATCATTTCTGAACATCATTTGTATCTCTCTTAAAACTTCTAATTAAACATATTCAAAACACTTAGACATTTACTGCCTTTAGTATGTACACATATTTGCTTCCAAGATGAATTTATGATCTTTGATACCTGCATACAAAATACTTGGACTGTTTTTTTTTTTCTATTTGTCTTCTTAGATGTGATTTAAGATGCTTTTTTGTTGTTCTTGTTGTTATTTTAATATTTTGGGATTCTGTATGCTACCTAGACCTTAGTGATCTGTTAACAAATATGAAAACTGTTTTTTTAGACTTACTCTTCCTGCATGTCAAAATTAAAACTGGAAGATAGATCAGTAAACATGAAAATGGATCTTTCTGAGGACATGAACTTTTCTGCTTTTTTATACTTTTTGCTGGTAGTATAGTTTAGAAGCTGTATGATTAATGTAATGGCATAGGAGCTTGTGTAGATGTGTCAGTAAGCTGCCTTGACTTTTTGTGCTGAGTTTCATAACCCACCAGGCCTGGAATTCTAGCTGAATGGAACCAAAGGCTATATACACCACCCTGCACCCTGACATTTCCGACATACCTATTGAAATTAACCACACCGCTGTAATCTTGATGAATGCTGTAGCTCGTGAGTTATATTGATTAGCCTGGATTGGCTTTTTGATGGCTATATAACGATCCACTGAAATGGCACAGAGATGCATAATGGATGCAGTAGAAAAAAGAACATCAAGAAATAACCAGGCAGGGCATAGAACAAGTGGGAGGGGCCACATAGCCTCTGAAAGAAAGAAAAACAAAACAAAAACATTTCTTCAGCAAAATGACAACCTTCAATCTGCAGTTTTTCTTCAGTGCTACATATTTTTTAACCTTTTTTTTTGTTTACCTGAAATTTAATGACAAACTGCAAGATAATGTTTAACTTCAGATAATGGAATCAATAATATTAAAAATATATTTCTGCAGATGGTACCTTCTAAATATATTTTTGTTCTTATAATTAAAACCCTTTTCTAAATCAGTGTGTAGCATTATTGTGACCTTTGCTGTTTTGTCTATTCCTTTTGTGATTTTAAAAAATTTATAGGATGTTGCACCTGGAACTTGACCTTGCTATTCAAATAAAATTTTATTTTTAAGCTGCTGTTATATAAGAAGAAAATCTTTTACCATATGGAGGAAGCAATGTAATGTGGCCAAAAAAAAAAAAAAAGTATTAGAATGAAATTATCAGTGATGCCTGGGATTTGGGCTCACTTCTAGCAATAACTAGCAACATGAACCTTGTATAGCAAACTCATTTGGTGAAATAATTAAGTGAAATTATTTGAGTTTTCTTTTTGACAGAAATAGCTCTTAAATAAAGTTTGTAAAAGAAATGGCTTCAGGTTATACTGAGGAAAAGTGGATTATTATCCTTTCAAGTCCCATTATTCACTTCAAGTTACGGAGATGAAATAAGTGATACAAACTTTTGGTTTAAACAGAAAATCTCAGGATTAGACATAGTACTTAATTTATTTAACAAACTCTTTATTTTTAAAAAACACCATATACCTCATACAGTCTTAAGCATTTAAGAAATATAAACTGTTTTAAAATGTAAGGTTTTGGATATGGTATTGAATATTCTACATAGCTTTCCAATAAATTTACTTAGACAAGTATCCATACAAAAGAGATTTGCTACATTACGTATTATGCATTTACCCACCACATACAGATTTGTAGTTTCAAACTAAAATGTATTCATGAGCCACGCTGGCCTGTGTGGCTCAGTTGGTTGGGTGTCATCCTGTGCACCAAAAGGTTGTCAGTTCGATTCCTAGACTGGGCACATGCCCAGGTTGTGGGCTCAATCCTGATAGGGGACATGCATGAGGGAGCCCATCTATGTTCTGCTCTCACATTGCTGTCTCTCTCTCTGCGTCTCCCCTTCTCTCCCTCCCGCCCCTTTCCTCTCTTTCTAAAATCAATAATAAACATATCTTCAGGTGAGGATTAAATAAATCCTTTTTACAGCTTGTCCTATGTCCGCTGACAAAATATAAACTACTTTTCCTGGTTTTTGCAAGTGTATCTAACTTTGACAGGCATAAGATGATTGAGATAATTGAAGGAGGACAAAGATAACTTCTCAGGATTTCAGAGCACCAACCGGCCCTTTTATTGTAAACTGTTTAAACTCAAGAAGCCTAGGGGTAGAGAGAGATTAGCGTCCTGGGCCAAAAAAAAAAAAAAAAAAAAAGACCATAATTTAGAGAAAGAAGTTTTATAGACTTGAATTTAGTTACTTTTTTTTTTTCAAGAATCAAGTAGGATTTCAGTGAAAAAATATTTGGATACTTCACAGAAAGGTAGCCAGGTCAACATATTAAAATGTTTGTTCTGTCCTAACTGGTTTGGCTCAGTGGATACAGCGTCAGCCTGCGGACTGAAGGGTCCCAAGTTCGATTCCAGTCAAGGGCATGTACCTTGGTTGCGGGCACATCCCCAGTAGGGGGTGTGCAGGAGGCAGCTGATCGATGTTTCTCTCTCATCGAAGTTTCTAACTCTCTATCCCTCTCCCTTCCTCTCTGTAAAAAATCAACAAAATATATATTTAATAAAATAAAATAAAATGTTTCTTCTTAGGAACGTAATAACAAAATCAGTATGAATTTTTGTTCAGAAAGGGTAAATTATTGCGTGATATTTGATTCCATGTTCAGCAGCTTCTTTAGAAAAAGGATTAAAGTATCAGGTGGAAGGAGTAATTCATATTCTTAAGTAAATTACTATTATATCATTCCTACTTCACTGAATTGGTGGTGGGGATAAGGGATGAAGATAATAAATTATAGAGTCACTGAGCTGGAAGGGACCTTAGAGATTATATCACTGATTTTGCAGATGAGTGAATTCAGGTACAGTTAAGTCTCTGAATATGAGAGGGATCATTTAATTATCAAAATTTGAAAGTCTTCTTTCAAGCCTTGCTGCTCAAAGTGTGCTCCTCAGATCAGCAAGGATCAGCATAACCTGGGAACTTGTTAGAACTGCAAGTTCTTAGGCCTCATCCCAGACACTTGAATCAGACTCTGCAGTTGAACAAGATACCAGGATGATATGTATGCAATTAATGTTTAAGAAACACTGTTCGAAGACTTCCTGGGAAAGGTTGTGTCTGGCTTGATATTAACTAATGTAGGCTGGGCACTCAGAATGCCTCAGAAAGGAACTTATGGGAAATCTCAAAATAAAGAGTGGCAGAAAAATTTGTGTGTAGAAAGAATCAATTAAATTTTCTCCCTTTTAGCTGTCTTATTCAGATTTCTGTTAATTAGTGGGAAAAGACCAATGCAGTCCAAGGTAGCAGTGTTTGCCCTGAGCTTAAGCAAACCAGCGGTCTAAGTAGAGGGAACAGAGTCGCGTGTGATTAAGAGTTTTGCAGTGTAAACTGCTTACAGTGAGCTGTGTTCTGAACTGTCCTGAAGTTCTAGATTGAGGATGAGTAGGAAATAGAAAAATGGCTCAAGTCTGGGGCTGCATCCACAGATACTGATCATAGTTAAGGATTGTAAAAGCCAGATAATTAATGTCGTACCTTAGGCTTTATTTATTTTTATTTATTATTATTTTAAATTTTATCTTTATTGTTGAAAGTACTACAGATGCTTGCTCTTTTTTTCCCCATTGACCCCCTCCACCTCACTCCCACCCCCTTCCCAGGCCTTCCCTGCACTACTGCCTATCCATGGGTTATGCATATATGCATATAAGTTCTTGTTAATGGGTTGCAAATAATTTTTAAACTTGCCTATTTAGCTATTCTAACTATGGGTTATATTTTTTAAAATTAAGATCTGGAGCCCGGCTGGCATGGCTCAGTGGTTGAGCATCGACCTATGAACCAGGAGGTCACGGTTCGATTCCTGGTCAGGGCACATGCCTGGGTTGCAGGCTTGATCCCCAGTGTGGGGTGTGCAGGAGGCAGCCAGTCAATGATTCTCTCATCATTGATGTTTCTATCTCTCCCTCTCCTTCCTTCCTCTCTGAAATCAATAAAAAAAGTATAAAAAAAAAAGATCTGGAAAATTTTAATCATAAATCTAATAGCCATGAATAAGAAGCCACAAAGAACTCTCCATGTCTTTGGAATTATATTATCTGACCCACATATTCCTAATTGTGGGCTAAGAGGGAAAGTTCTTTAGTGCTAATTTAATTAAACCTATGAAGCCTCATTAGCCTCATTTTCCAATGAATTTATTTTATAACTCCAGTTTTGGAACAGGAAATATGTATTAAAGTCAGTTCAGATCGCTATAATTTTGTTGATTCAATGCTTTCTTATTGAAAATAGTAGAAATATGGAGGCATGGAAGAGAATTTTCTCTGAAAAGAAAAGAGACTGCCCTAGCCGGTTTGGCTTATTGGTTAGAGCGTTGGCCAGTGGACTGAAGGGTTCTGATTCAGTTCCAGTCAAGGGCGCCGTACCTTGGTTGCAGGCTTGATTTCAGTCCTGGATGCATGCTGTCTCGCTCTACATTGATGTTTCTCTCTCTGTCTCTCCCCAACCCTTCTACTATCTCTAAAAATCAATGGAAAAAATATCCTCGGGTGAGGATTAACAAAACAAGAAAAGAAAGAAAGAGACTATGAGGTTTAGGATTAAGAGAGATGGATCATTTGGATTAAGCTTTATGATTCCAAGTTTTATGAAATACTAGTGAATAGACATTTTATGAAACTAACATAAAATAAATAGATGACTATATTAATAGAAATCTTTTATACAAAGCAAAAAGAAAAAAAGGTTTATTTAATTGCCTAAATAGATTCAGGTAATCTAAGAATTTATACAAATTAAAAACAATTCTAGACATTCTCGGTTTATAAAGGGACTTCTTCTAGTCCATATGCTTCCATTCTAAAATTATCTTTTCAGTTAGTATTAATTTCATAGGCTCAAGGTAAGAAAGGTTTCTTACTATTCAGAATAACTATAAAAGATTCAGTTGACATGGCAAGATAGGTTAACTATTCCAAAACTTTATGTTGTTTTTATTAGGAGTTTCAATTTGTTTTAACGATTTATAGTTTCATTTATTTGTTGTAATGTATTATGTCCAGCTTATTTCCATAAGAACTTATTTAAAATGGAACAGTTGCAGATTTACATAAAAAGAAAGAAAGGTGTATCTAAGAGTCAATCTATGGGAAATAAGTTATCAGACAGTTTAGTTAAATTACTGCTACCCTGCCTGGCCAGTGTGACTCAGAGGTTGAGTGTCAGCCCAGGAAGGATTTGCCGGTCCGGGCACATGCCTGAGTTGCAGGCTCGATCCCCAGTAGGAAGGCAAGTGGCGGGTAGCTGATTGATGATGTTTCTCATCTCATCGATGTTTCTATCTTTCTCCCTTCCTTCCCCTCTAAAAATCAATGAAAACATATTTTTAAAAAATTACTGCTACTCTGGGACTCTAAATTTGACTTCATAAAAACAACAGAAGGTGGAAAACATTTAAATTATATAGCATTTGTTGTCCTGCAAAAAGAAAGCACACAACTTTTCTCTGAAAAATATCTCATTGTGTACCTCTTTCCCCCACACACTTCCAAATTAAACTCAAGAGAATTTAATTTCAATAAGGTTTGAATAATTGCATTTCTATGAGTGCCTGAAATAATCACAAATTGATAATTATAGAAGCAAAACAAGTCTTAGATGAGTCTTAGGTTATAGACAGCTCATTATTTACCTAAAATATTCGTAGCATAGGAAGTATTTATCTC